CGACGTAGTACCTGAGAGAGAAGACTCACCAGTACCTGGGGCAGCAGACGCTCTAGCAACTGGAGTAGCAGCCTCACCAGCACCTAGAGCAGCAACCTCAATGCCCGGGTCAGGCGGAACACACAGGTAACAGTCACCCTCATCACTAGTAGACACAGCATACATGGCAGCAAGAATAGCATCATAGTCAAGATCAAAGATAGCAACCCCGCCCTAGACAGCTCTCCCCAGCGAGGGATCTTAGTGGCGTCAGGGAACTGGTGAGGCCAAGCGTCCGTCAGGCGGCTGAAGCAGCGCTGGATGGAGTGCGAGCCCCCGCACTGCTCACCAGCGCAGTCGCCGGTACGGAGGACGTAGGTACAGGGACCAGTACCCCCACCTTGCTGACGCCCAGCGTAGCACTCACAAAACTGCTGCGGGGACGGGGTCTCACGAGTGCGCTGCTGCAGCTGGCGCGGACCACCACCGGAGCCACTCCTCTGCGTAGAGCCGCGACCAGCTCCACCGCCGCCCCCGCCGCCCCCGCCGCCTCCGCCGGCCCCGCCGCCTCCGCCGCCCCCGCTGCTTCCGCCGCCTCCGCCACCTCCGCTGCCTCCGCTCCCACCGCCACCGCCGCCGCCTCCTCCGCCTCCACTGCTGCCACCGACACCTCCACCCCCGCCACCACTCCCACCACCACCCCTACCCCCTCCACTGCCTCCACCACCACCTCCACCGCCCCCGCCAGCCCCTCTAGCGCCCTTGCCCCCCTTTCCCTTGCCGGTGCGGCGTCTCCCGCTAGGGGCAGACGCAGCGCCGACCGACTCAAAGCCAACGAGGTCGGCCGCAGCAGCAGAAGCAACAGAGGGCAAGAGGGGGGAGGGGGAACACCCCTCAAAGACGGGGGTACGGGGGTCACCACGAGAGGCTCCTACAGCGACTATACTCTTCTCTGCTGCCAGGAGGGGCTCCTCGAGAAGGTCAACAGTGAGTGTGGTGGGGCAAACTGAGAGGAATTGGTCCCTGACTAAGCGAAGGGAGTCAGGGAGCCGGGTGACTATGTAGTAGAGGGTGATGTACATAGGGGGAGGGTTCTTGGCACAGAACTCAGCAGGAAGCGCAGCGCGGTAGCGAGTGTCACTAGTGCGAAGGTGTGTAATGAGGTCAGCGACTGTGGGAAAGGCAGCAAGGTCAGGGAACAGGTACGGCAGCATGAGGCGGCTAAGAGCAGCAGTGGCACGGGAAGAGTAGCGTGCAACGACAGCGTCGTACAAGGTCTTAGCACTCTTGTACTGACTAAAGTGCGCACGCTCAGCGGTCGGTAAGTGTCGACGCACAACAAGACGGGCAGCAGCATCGCGTGTGGCCCACTGTGAGCGAATAGTGCTGTCAGCATCAGCAGGCGGGGCAGGAGAGGCACCTCCTCGAGCTCCTCGGCCTTTGCAATACCTTCCTGCCTCGCGATTGACAGAATTTACGCCCTGATCCGCGTGGCGTTGACACGGGGAACGTGCATCCATTGAAGGCCGTCCTTGGCGGTGTGCCACTGATCACCCATGTCTTCGTCGATGTACCTCCATATCTCGTCCTTGTGCTCCAGCACGCCATCCCCCTTGACTCTGGCGGTTTGCTGTCTTGGAAGGTTCTTGCAGCACCATCTCCCTAAGTCGAGCAGCGCCCGCAGGTCCTGAACCCGGGTCATTCTCGCCTCCAGCATGTCCAGATGCCGAAAACCCCACATCATCCTCAGCAATCTGTTCTTCTTGGCGAGCTCTTTGTTAATGTCGAAGGCGGCTTCCGCAAAATCGTCGCGCGGAATGTTTTACAGGAAGGCGTCATCTTTCTCGTCGGCTGCCAACAAGTCCTCTACGGTCAGATACATGTAGTCGTTTTCTGGAAACGGTCCAATCGGCGGCGGCTGCTCGGTCGCCGAAGGATCCTTTGGGTCCGGAGCAGGTTGGGGAGCCCCTTTCATCCTTGGCGGAAGGGGGATGGTCGGGTCGTTGGGAATATTTGCCCTAGCGGCGTCTACATCTACCTCCAAGCAAGGCTCGTTCAGGTCGGGAATCGCGCTGCTCACCGCCAGCGGCGTGACGCCAGCCATCTCGGCGGGTAAAGTTGTTCCCGTCGGCCTCTAGTTGTCGCCGCGGTCTCGCGGCGGTACGTGCTCAGCCCACCAAAGGCGATACTGCACAATCGCTGCCGTGTATTGCCTTCGCACCGTGGCCCTAAAGGCCGCCCGTCTTTCGGCCCTCTCAACGTTCTCGGCGATCGTCAACTCCGCGGCAATGTCGGACAGTTCGGGAACTTCGGGAAGTAAGGGCGGCGGATTGGTGTTCTGCTGGGTGATGTTCGGAGTGGTTGTGGTCAGCGGCGCAATGGTCGGCGGGGTGTGAAGTGGCAATATATCATTCGGCGGGGTGTTGTTCGGGGGGAGGTTGGGCGGGGGGGTGTTGTTGGTCGGGGTGTTGTTCGTCGGGGTGTTGTCCGGCGGGATGTTGTTAGACTGGTCTCTGGCCATTCGCAGCCGTACTGGCGATCACTGGCGACGACAATACTGGTTGTGGGTACGAAGAAAGAGGTCCGCCACTTTCGGATGTTGTCGACCTAGCTAGTCGTCCTAGTCGGAACGATCCTAAGTTGGAAGCCCGTACGGTTTGCCGACCTAAACGCACTCTACACCGGCGTGGCTCGTCGTCGACCCTGCACCACGCGAGGTCGGTTGGTCTCAGAGAAGCGTGAAAATGACTAAGGGAAATGAAAGTGAATGCAGCGCAACAAACAAGAGACGAAATGGCATAGACACTTGGCCGTCGGTGGGTCATAGCATAGAGTGCCACAGTCGCGGTTCGGGCGGACAGGTGTTGGCGGGCGATCCGTGGGCAGGTCTCCAACCCTGCATGCAAGGCAGGTCGGCGGCGCAATGGTCGACGTGGCACGGGGCACGCATGTCTTTTTTGCAGCCGACTGTCCGGCGTTCCCGTCACGCTGAACCGTGCTTACACGTCGGCGTGACGCAGCAGTGCTCATCGCGTCGCCCGACGATGGTATCCCGCGGGCACGTTCCCGCCAGCAGGCCGCCGAAGGCTTGGTCGCCGCGTGGACAGGCGTTCGCCGATCGATGTTCGCCATGTGGAATGTTATGTTTCGGATGGGCGACGTGTGGCTCTGCGCGCCAGAGCAGTGGTCAGCCAGGAATCGCGGTGGGCCTCACGTCGCAGTCCGCACCGATGGCAAGGAGGACGTCGTGGCACGCTGGCCGCGACCGGCGTCGTCGATGTATCGACCTCGTACGGAGGGTCCGTTGAGAGGTGCCATTGGGGTTTTTCTCATCGGGATTGCCAGGTGACGCAGGATGACGCTTCTCGCTCAGGACGTGCACTCAGTTAGCCAGACAGGATGACGCAGGGTGGCGGATCCCTTTCTCGAGCCGCGTCGTTTTTGCACCCGGGTGTAGTCGGGGCGTTGAGATATACCAGGCTAGCTCGCTCACTCAATTGCACTCGTAACATGCGGTCGGACCTGACTAGTCTCTACAGCTGCACAGTGTTTTGGGTTTTGTGTCGCAAGCCAGGTTCATGTGTCATGTGCGGGTGTGCGACACAAAACCGATGACTGTGTACTGTAGTACAGGGTGTGCGGGTGCATGCGCCTGTGAATCCGTACACGAGGGCGATACGTAGCAAGGAGTGTCAGTCGGTCCGACTAATCTCCTCACCTCAAACGTACCTGCTTGTGAGGATCAAGTTTACGACATCCTAGTAGTCTGGAAAACAACCAACCACCAGAACGCTATGTAGCGCAATCGTTTTTATGCCACCCTCAAATACCACATGCAAAAACTGATCGAGCGGGCAGTTGTCAAGTATTCAAGCGATCTGTTCTACAGTTTGCAAGAGATTGGAAGCCGAGACCAGCGACTCTAGGAGTTTTGAAACTGCCTAGTGCATCACAGGGTGACTAGTACCGCTATAATTAGATTGAGCAGGTGAAATACATACTTTGTCTCTACTCCTCATGAACCAAAGTTTCCCACACCGTGCGGGATGTTGCGATCTCGCAACTGTCCCAATGGTTTTGGGGAGCCGCCATTCTGTAGTGACTACAGCCGACGCAGCGTCAGGCACCAAGTCCTACAGCCGATGCTGCGAGTCGCAACGCCTCGTCTCTTGTTTTTCAAGCTACATGGCCAATATTGGGGCATCTTTGAATTTTGGCCGCAAGCCATATGGTCTTGCGGCCAGTATTCAAAGATGCCCCTTTCGTCCAATTTGAGCCGCGACTCAACTATTTTTTTCGCATAGAAAACAGTTGCTTTTCCACCACGTCATCCCAAAAATATGCCATCAAACTTCTTACCCCCCCGCTCTGAGTAAACCCAGAAGGCTCCGCCGGGGGTACTAGTGAGCAATGAAATAGCAGCGTGTTTCGAGGAGCTTTTGAGCAAAAGCCGCGGGAGATATGGGGAGCGCTGGGCGTCCGAGGTGGAAGCATTGAAGATATAGTTTGGCGGATCATCCTAACCTGGAGTGCGGGGACGGCGACGGCACCGAAAAGTAACTTCGAAAGCGCCTCTGGATGATGGAAGAGGCGTGGTACTGGCGACGAGAGGACTGGTAATTGGTAACCACTCACTAGAGTAGCAGGGTGAGTTGGCAACGGAGGACAAAGCTAGCAAAATCGCGGAAAGGGTGACGAGCACAATGCGATGGGGGAGGCGGATGGAGTCGCAGCATGCAGCATGGTTGCGACTGGTGGAGCAGGCGATGGAGGGCAGTGAGCTGGACAGCGAGAAGTTCCTCGAGAAGATGCGGCGACGACTGGACAGGTGAGACTTCACAAGAAGGTCCCAGGTGGGACTGGACGTTATCGTTGAATGAATTGTACGTTGCACAGTTTACATCTCACCATCCGGACCTTGCTCTGATGTGGTTTGAGTGTCATGCATACGATAGTGGAGTATACGGCTCACTTTGTGACCCCATTTGAAGCCAGTCAGCCAACCTACACCTTTCCATCCCATGCTTCGCAGTGTGGGAGTGTCGTTTCCCGGAGTGGAGGTGCGCTTCGAGGGGGTGAGCGCGTCTGCCAAGGTGCAAGTGGGGGCGAGGGGCCTACCCACGCTGCCCAACATGCTGGCCAACCAAGCAGTGGCGTTGCTGAGGGAGGTGCGACTACTCAAGGATCGGCGCCGCCTCTTCTTCGCTCCTCACGGCTGCTTTGGCATCCTCAAGCCCGGCAGGTGAACAGCCTGACGCGTACGTTCTTGCTTCTATGAATATGCAAGGTTCGGCATAGCCTGGTAATTCCGGCATCCCCAAACCTGGTAGGTATGGGGACTCCAAGCCTAGCAGGTAGGTGTCTTGACACTTGATCGTAACATGGTATTTTGGGCCTGCCATGGAATCATGTGACAATCCGAGGGCTGAGATAGTGTTGACAACTTTTCCAAACCCCTTAAAATAAATATTCTTGATCTTCCTATTTCACAGGATGACGCTGCTGCTGGGGTTGCCAGGCAGCGGCAAGTCAACGCTGCTGAAGATCCTGGCAGGGAAGGCGGAGAGGGAGTTGGGCGTGCAGGGCGAGGTCACGTACAATGGCCGCCCGGGGAGCCACTTCGTGCTGCCGCGCTCCGTGGTGTTTGTGCCTCAGATGGACTCCCACATCGGCGAGATGACCGTCCGGGAGACGCTCCAGTTCTCCGCTCGCCTTCAGGGGCCCGGCCACCGCGCAGGTAGAGCATTCTTTCTTTTCCCAAATCATCCTGAGTGGGTACAGTACAAAGTGGCCATGGCCGGTTCCTTGTGTGCGGTCCAAGTAGTATAGATGCCAGTCTGTCCCTCCCTCCGTCCCTCTGTCCCTCCCTCCCTCCCTCTCTCCCTCCCTCCCTCCCTCCCTCCCTCCCTCCCTCCCTCCCTCCCTCCCTCCCTCCCTCCCTCCCTCCCTTCCTCCCTCCCTCCGTCCCTCCCTCGGTCCCTCCGTCCCTCCCTCCGTCCCTCCGTCCCTCCGTCCCTCCCTCTGTCCCTCCGTCCCTCCGTCTCTCCGTCCCTTTGTCCCTCCGTCCCTCCCTCCCTCTCTCCCTTCCTCCCTCCCTCCCTCCCTCCCTCCCTCCCTCCCTCCCTCCCTCCCTCCCTCCCTCCCTCCCTCCCTCCCTCCCTCCCTCCCTCTTCCTCTCACCTTGGTGGTATTTTGCACCTTTATTACTGCTCCTTTCGCTCGCTGCTGATCGCCCATTCTGCTTCTCACCTATTCCGCTCTTTCGCTGCCTCAAATCGTTGTGCTTGTCGTGCAGAACTATTTCAGCATGTGGAGGACAAAGAGAGGGAGGCCAGCAACAAGCCAGATGACGTCATGGAGGTCGTGATGAAGGTAGAGATGATGTCATCGGGTTAATCATGGCACTGTCACAGCCACTATGCTACGGATTGCATGTATTGCCTCGTTGTAACTTTCTCAGAAATGCCCCACAGGGCATCACCACAGTAGCTCTCTGGGTCTTTGATTTGAGGGATGGGGATGATGTTGGAATCACAGTAAATGGGTCATTGCAGTTGCAGGGATGTTATGGGTCCTTTTGGGTCCCGGGGCCTTCTTTGTGTTTCCCAATCCAAAGCCTCAATCCACCCCCATGTGTCTCTTTTGACCCACAAGTCTCTTACCCCGTCACACTTCTCTCACCTCCCCGTCACGTCTCTTCTTCCCACCCCACACGTCTGTTCCCCTCTTTTCCTTGGGTATTGATGCATGCGCCATCATCAATGATACATGCAGGCGATGGCCAATGAGAGGCAGTGCTTAGATGTTGTGGTGCAGTACGTCCTCAAGGTGAGTGTGTATGTGTGTGTGAGTCTGTGTGTGAGTGTGTGTGTGTGTGAGAGAGAGAGAGAGAGAGAGAGTGTGTGTGTGTGTGTCTATGTGTGCGTGTGTTGAAGTATCAGTTATCCCTTTGCCATGATCTCCTTTTCTTCCTGCGTTTCTTTACTCATATTTCCTTTGCGAACCTCATCCCACCTCCCTCCCCCCTCATTCCCCACCTCACTCCCCCATCATGCCCCCCTTATTCCCCGCTCGCTCCTTCCTCACTCCCTCTCTCACTGCACGGCCCACTCGATTGTAGTGATGCTCAACACTATCAATTGCCCCTCTACTCCCCTATCCCCACCCTTTATTCCTCCCTATCCTCACCCCTCCACGCAGATGCTCGGCCTGGATGTGTGTGCTGATACCATGGTTGGGGACAGCATGAGGAGGGGAGTATCAGGAGGGCAGACGAAACGAGTGAGCATCGCCGAGGCACTCATGGGAGCAAAGCAGGTCGTGCTGATGGATGAGATCTCCAATGGGCTTGACTCCGCCACCACTTACCACATCACCCGGTGCCTGCGCAACCTCACGCACTTAACTAATACCACCACCCTCATCTCCCTGCTGCAACCCGCGCCAGAAACATTTGAGCTGTTTGATGACGTCATGCTGATGTTAGAGGGGCGGATTGTGTACCATGGGCCCAGGGAGGAGGTGTTGGGATTCTTCCAGGAAATGGGGTTTGCCCCGCCTGCCCGCAAGGGAGTGGCTGACTTCCTGCAACAAGTGAGGCATATTTGTGCTGCCTCCCAGTTGAGTCGACTACAAAGTCAGGAAGTGGAAGTTCAGTTTTTGGTCTGATTCCAAGCTGCGGGTAGTTTTCCTGGACGTTGGTATGAAGAGTTTATAGTTTTACTGTTAAACTATTCGATTCGATGATTGATTGAAAGAAGCTTAAGCTTGCTTCGGGGAGAGCGTCTTTTTGGATTTTGCAAGGTTCTTGTTGACGTCAGCACGCACTGTCCTTAGTATAGCTCCTGCTCCTTCTTTTGAATTCTCTCCTCCTTCCCTTCGGATTTCCCCTCCTGCCTTTCTCGTGCCTCATCCCATCCGTCTTATAGGTCACCTCACTAAGGGATCAGGAGCAGTACTAGAAACCCAATAAACTCCACCCATGTCGCTACATATCCGTCCGAGCCTTTGAGGAGGCCTTCCAAGCCTCTAGGTTTGGCAAGCAGATGGAAGCAGAGCTCTCCATGCCATTCAAAAAGGATCGGGGTGCATTCGAGGGAGAGGATGAGGGGAAAGACGTGGAAGATGAGGGGGAGAAGGGGACGGGAGAGAGAGGGGAAGTGGGTGTTTCATTTTCGGCGGGGAGAGAAGGCCTTAGCATCCAGCCCTCTCCCTCTTCCCTCTGCCCTCTCCCTCTGAGCCTATTTAAGGGGCCCTCTGTGCCTTCCCGGCCTCATTATTTCGTGGGTGTTTCATTTTCGGCGGCTCGCGCCGGCGGCCTTCGGCCGCGCATTCCTGGTGGCAAGACAAAAAACGTGGGTTCGGCTTATACAAGGCAAGGAGCTGGGCAAGAGCAAGAGGCGCGGCATGCAATTCTACATGCGGCGGAGGCCTACATCGTGTATAGCTCCGCCCCCTCCACCTCAAACATCGAGCGCATGCACGCCGATACTGCAAGAAGGAGATGCGCCGACGACTGGAGCGTGTCCAAGGGGGTCCCGGCTTGAGCAGCCCTTACAAGATCCCCCACGTGGCAGGGGAAAGTACGGGCTAAGGGAGCTACCTCGGCGGGCGCATCCGACACGGGTGCCAACGGCGACTCGAGCGATTCTGCCAAAGTCACGCAGGATCCTCGGGACCCTGGACCGAAACTACTCCGAAAGCTCCGCGTGGCCCCACACACCGCCAGCTGCAAGAACGCCACCACCTCGCACGCCTCCGCCAGATTCGAAATCCGGCACATGGTCAGCATGGGGTGTCTCCCCGCGCGAGTGGGGGGAGGTGCAGTCAGCGCTTCACACGGAAACGCCGCCGGCCAGCCAGGGGTCCGGCCAACAGATAAGCGCGGCGCAGAGAAGCCGGGAACCTGACCGGGGGTGCGGAACTGAGCCCTTCCCTCACGCGCGGGCTGATATTCGCGCAGCGTCGGCGCGCGCAGAGGAGCAACCTGGCCGGGGTCCGCAGCAAAGGGGGGACCGTTGGTCACCTCAATGTGGACGTGAGTCGGTGCCCCACTCGCCCGGGCCTGCCTCACCACCTCCACGAACGTGTCCGCAGCGCGATCGAGGGCAGGATCCGGCTGGTTGCCATTCCCGCCTCGCCCTCCGCCTTTCCGCCAGCCCCACCGTCCCCCGGAACCAGCCGAATGTGGATGCGGGGGGGACTGCTCACGGCGACCCGAATCCCAGCGACGCACAGGCGACCCCCTCCCCCACGTCGCCAGAGATCGCCGCGGAGAGCGTTGCGCGGGGGATCGCGCTCGGGGTGAGCGCTGGCCTGCCTAACCACGAGGGGATGGGCGGCGAGGAGAGCGAGGACGTGCAGGGAAATGCTGATCCCCCTCCTCGCGCTGATAGTGCTCGCGATGCTCAGGAGAAGGGCAGCGAGGAGAGGGCGGCCGAGGAGGCTGATGAGGAGGCGAGCATCCGCGCTCATGCCGCGGCTGACCGTCCGGGCGGTTCGACGCAACACGTGCAGGCGCCCACGAATACTCCGGCGAGGTGGGGCGCGCGGCAGGCCGATGGGGAAGTGTTTGTACCCGCTCGAAGCGGCAAACGGGCTCGCTTGCGGAGGGGTGCGCAAGGAGACGCGGACGAGGCCCGGCAGGCGCAGGCTGCGGCAGCGCGCTCTCTGCGGAACCCTCCAGCTCCGGATCCCGTCTCGCGGATGGGACCATCACCCCGGATCGTACCGCAGCCGACGCCAGCGCGTCGACGAAGCGAAAACGAGACGGTCGCGGCGCCGCAGACAGGGCGTGAGGGAGCTGCTGTTGGAAGAGCAACGCGTGGAATCCGCGTAGGACGCGGCAGCCGCCGCGGACGACGAGGTAACGAGAGAGGACGAAGAGGTGGTGGAATACAAGGTTCAAACAGGCACCGCACAGGTGCAAGCAGCTACGCGAGAAATGCAAAAAAGCTGATGCGAAACGGCGCGGAGGGCGGCGAGGAACCGCTTAGCGAGGAGGCAGAGGAGGAAGTGGAGAATGAGGAAAGTGACGAGGGTGACCCTGCTTTTAATTCTGAAAGAGAGGGGATGTTGGGGGCAGAAGCCGAGGAGGACGAGGAGGAGTTGGAACTTTTGCTTCGAGGAGAGGAGCTCCCCAGCCCCTATGTCCGGGGCGAACCTGCCAACCGAACCACAGCTCAGAACCGAGCCGCGGGGGGAAATCACGCAAGGAGGGGAAATCGAGCCGCGACAGAGACTGGAGTTGACTCTGCGACAGCCAATGAGAATTCAACAGCCCCAATTCCGACCCCCCCAATGCTCAAACCTGACGACCTGGCGAAAAATACTGACTTGTTCGCCCAGGTTGCCGACTGGGACACTGGCCCGCTGCGAGACAGTCGCCAACCCCCAGTCGCCCGCCACCCTCCAAAAGACCTTCGCGAGTCTTTCGCGATTTGCCTGCTGACACCGTTACTCCACATGGCAGCCAACCCCGAGTCAGAACCTGGCTGGATGTTACTCACCTTCCTCCCTCGCTTACTTCTTCGCTCCTCGTCAGCTCGTAAGCCTGACTGGAGCGCAATGATGAATAGGCTCCTGCAATTTCGCCAAGGGCTCTGGGCCGGCCTCTACGAAGAAGCTACCGAATCGATCTCCCTCCCCCCACAGCCTCGCCACGCACCTGACACAACCGGCATTCTCGCCAGAGCGGAGGGCCTGGCGAAGCGTGGTAACCTCTCAAAATTGTTGCAATCCCTGCAAGCCACGCCCGTGCCGCCAGCCTCACCTGAAGTTCTCACGGCCCTCAGGACGAGACACCCACCTGCATCCCAACAACTACCTGATTGACTGCACGCTGCCACAGCGGAAAACCCTCCCGCTATCGAAGCCCGCGACTTCAGAAGGATCATCGCCAAGCTCCCCAATGGAGTGGGGGCGGGCCCCTCAGGAACTACCTTGGAACATCTCCATGATGCAGCACTAGGAAACGCCGAAGTCTTCACCCACCTCCTAGCCCTCACCAATATGGCTCTGGCAGGGAAGCTACCAGCCGTTGCAGGAGAGCTACTTACCGCCTCTCGTCTTTTGGCCTTCTCGAAACCGCACGGTGGGACGAGGCCGATCGCGGTTGGGGAATGTATACTTCGGATCATCGCCAAAGCCGCTCTTTTCCTGATCGCGTCCGCCGCTAAATCTCACTGCAAAGCGCCAGGGGGGTCCGCCAAGGTGATCCCCTCGGCCCCCTTCTATTCGCCGCCAGCATCCACCCCTGCCTCGTTGCGACGGCCGTGGCTCACCCGCAGGTGGTCCTACTCACCTACGCCGACTACATCACGCTGCTCGGTGATGCGTCTGCCTGCGCCGCGGCCTTCGACCACCTCACAGCCGCGCTCGCCTCCATGGGGCTCCTTCACAACCCTGCTAAGTGCGCGGCTTGGTCCGCCGCCCCAATTGACCCTGCCTCCGTCCCCCCCGGCTTCACCATCTCGACCGAAGGGCTGCAAATCCTCGGCAGCCCCGTCGGCACAACGCAGGGCTGCGCCGCGGCAGTCAGGGACAGGCTTACGGCAGTAGCTGAACCGCTCCCGTTGCAAGGGCAAATGGACCCGTAGCTCTGCCTCCTCCTCTACACACATTGCGTCAGCCGCCGCGCCTCCTTCCTGGCAAGGACAACCCCGCTGGAGATCCTGCCCACAGCAGAATAGTCGGCATGGGGGGAGCGGCTGCTCCACGCGTTCCTAGAGGCCGCGCACATTGTTGCGCCAAGAAGCAATGTGGAAAGGAGGCGTATTTGGCGGCAGGCAGTGCTCCCCGTTACCTTGGGGGGTTTAGGCATTACGGAACCGGCCGTGGAAGGGAGTTACGCGTACCTTGCTTCGGTGGTCGGCGCGGCTCACCTCCTGCACTCGCTAGCCGACTCCCTACACCCCGCCATAGCCGCACTGCTCCCCCTTATGAACTCCGTCCCGGACTCCGCAGCAGCCCTGCCCTCGTGCCTAGCTGCAGCTGAAGTGGCCCTGCCCTCGCGCCTAGCTGCAGCTGAAGCGGCCCTGCCCCCTGATGGCCTGGAGGCCCTTCAGGCTGGTAAGAGCGACCCCAAGGGACTGAAGCTCCAGCAGTCTCTGGCCCTGGCGATCCACACCCGCCGCTACCTCCGAGTGCTGAACACGGCGCGGCGTATGCGCCCAAACCCCCTCTCAGGGCATGCTCAGCGGATGCAGTCCCTGCTGGGCCCGGGAGCAGGGGACTGGCTGCTGGCAATCCCACTCTCTTGTGCGCTGAGGCTGGGCCCCTCCCAACACTCTACTGCTTCCTCCTTCCGCCTTGGCCTCCCCCTCCCTGTCCCAAGGCGGTACGACTGCCGATACCGCACCACCTTTCCTGATGACCGCCTCCCGAATCACCTTATGCGCTGCGAGAAGGGGAAAGGGAGGACTGCCACACACCATGCTCGCAGGGATGAAATCGCAAGGATAGGGGCAGAAGCAGGCATCACGGTTCACAAGGAGACCTATGCCTACTCTCTGGTTGAAAACCTTAAAGCGGATGTCTCCATCCGCCATCCCCTGACCGGAGAAGTGTGGCTTTGTGACGTGACCGTGACCGACCCAGTGTCCTTCCAGGACGAGAACTGCAACCGCGCACCTGGTTGGGCGGCTAGGGCGGCAGCTGCTCGGAAGGAGGAGAAATATGCGGGACGGAATGCGTGGGCGGGGTTCCACGCCTTGGCCGTGGAGACTTACCTGCGGCAGTGCGCGGAGCTGGCTGCGAAGCTCCGCTACAACGCGGCCCCTACCTCTCGAGAGGCTGCCAAGCTGCTGACGGAGTACCGCCAGCGCTGGAGCGTGTGCCTCCAGAGGGCACAGGCAAATGCCCTCCGCACCAAGACCAACGAGGCCGTGGAGGCAGACGAGCTCAGCCTGCAAGGGCCGTGGGCCCCTCTCAACGAGGGGCAGTTGCACCAGCTGATCGAGCCCTCGTCCGACCACTAGGGTCGGACAGCGGGGGTAGGGGAGGGGAGTAGGTGATGGTTGATAGGTCTGCTTGTTTGCCTAGTTTGCATGTGTCTGCTTCAAACCTTTGTACCACCCTTCAGCTAATACACAGGCCATTCGAGGGGAAGTTTGTGCGTCTCTTGCTCTGGCACAGAGGTGGTTTGTGCTTCATCCGCTGGCCATGCTCACCATTGTGGCACACCGCGAGTGGCTGGTGATGAGGCGTAATCTGTTCCTCTACGTGAAAGAAGGAGTGTTTTGAGACGTCTCAAAGCACTCCTTTCACGTGGCTTCATTCTTTCTAGGTCCTGTAGAAATCTGCTAGCGTGGAAGCTGCCTTCCCGTTTAAAACGAAGACTGATTCAATCGAGGCTCCAAACTGTCGCAGCAGCTTGAACTTTTCCGAGCGACAAAGGTGGTGTTACCACCTTCTCGACTTCTCGGCCCTGGTTACCAACTTTCGCGAACATTCCAACAGAGTTCCGAAGATTTGGGTCAGAGTCCTGGACTCACCTCGAGATCTCACTCCATTTCCGCCTCGACATCTTCATCCATCCGCCTGGTTAGCTCAGCCTGATCGTAGAGTATTTCAGCTAGTTTGTTCATTACCGTCTCTTATTCTCAGGCTTGTTTGTACTGATGAAGGCTCGCAAGAGCCGAAACTAGTTTACTCAAGTTCTGATTTTAAGATTCCGTTTTCGTTCAAACTGGCCTACTAAAATACGATCTAGCATACAAGCTTAAAACAGGCTTCCCACTTTCATCTCATGGAGTTTGTTTCGCCGTCTTAATAACATCCAAGTTGATGGACGTCAGACCTCTGCAGCCCACCTGTTTACTAATAACAGCACCTGCATCGAGTGATACGGTTGTGGCCAGAGGCTCTCCTTCTTCCGACGACGATTCATCCGACTCAGAGGCCTTTCAGGAGGCCTCCCGCTTTTTCGTCTTTTGCGCTACCAAGCGTCAGCGAGAGGAATCTGACAATTCCCTTCAGCTGGAAAACGAAAAGCTTGAGTTTACTCAAATTCCATATCGAACCGCTCATCCCAAGACATTACGCCAACAAGCATTTAAAACACCAAGAATAAATAGCTTCCGCGTCACCGGCAATGGCTACTAACGCAGACGATGCAGGTGTCAATGTGATCGAGGGAGTTAACATCTCCCTACATACACTTGAAGCGGCTTTTTCGCCAGAAGGAAATAGACAAGATGCAGGTCCTATGCTTTAAGATCAAGGGCTCTGTTTTGGAAATGATCTATGTCCAACTCCTTTTAAAAAATGGCAACAAGAAGCTATTTCGAAAGCTATCAAGTCCTATGCTACATATCTCAGCCTCAAGCAACAGGTCGCTAAAATGAAGTTAATTGACGGCAGAAAGGAGTTGCTACACAGCATCAGAACCAAAGCCGTTCAGTTTCAGACCACCAATGAGGCTATTAAGAAGGCCACTGATGACAAGATCTACTCTCTGCACAATGGTGCTCTTCTAGAGCAACAGAAAGTCTTCATTAAAGCCAAGGAGGAGTTAATGACTACCGCTTTTACTGAGGCCAATGGTGCTGTTTCTCTTCTGGATGGATTAATTTCCAGTTATATTAACGGCATTAAAGCTATGGAAGAAGATTCCAGACGAAATAAAGCTATCGAAGTCATGGAATTCTTCAGAGGGAAGCTCATCCAAGAAGCTATTGCCGCTGTCGAGATTCAGCAGACCACGGCATTCATGGAATTTCATGAGAATCAGCGACTCAAGAATGAAGCAGAGATGGTTAAGAAGGCAGCTCAAGAACAACTTCAGAATATGGAGACAGAGCCTAGCATGAGGGAAGTTGCTAAGGATGTTGTTGACTCCAAACTTTCCGCAGTGCTTAAACGGCTTGAAAAACTTGAGTTGCAGAATCAGTCATCAGCTAAAGGGAAACAGACACAGCAGCAGCAACAGCAGCAGCAGCAGCCGCAGGGACAGCAGCAGAAGAAGCAGCAGACCCAGCAGCAACAGCAGCCGCAGCACCAACCCCAAGCACCTGCTACAGCAGAGGACAAAGGGGAAAAGAAGAAGAAGAAAAGGTGGTACAAACCAAAAAACGGAGGAGGCCCTGCAAGGGGCCAGCGCAGCTAACAAGCAAGGAGTTAGCACTCCGCTGGTTTGGGCGATTGACCGAGTCTCAGGCTAAGACCCGGATCATCAACCACGGAGTGTTTAATCTGAGCTCCCACAGCCTGACACCTGCTGAACGAAGTGTTCTAGGGCTGGGACTCAAGATTGTCTTACCTCATGCGCAGCCGTTTTCTCCTTCTGAAATCTTTAACGATTTTTCCAATCTGTTCAGGTCAATAAAGCTACTGGAATTCTTTAAAGGAACAGGACGTACTGACAGTCGTTTTCGAGTTAGTAAACCCGGTTGGATGCCTAAAGAGGATGAGAAGCTGGAAGCAGTTTTCGAAGAAACCAGAAAGGATTTATCCTGCCTGCTATCTTAGACACCTATCCGTAAAGAGCCTTACCTTCCTAAGGGGTATTATAAAGCCATCCGCGGACTCGCCTCCAATTCAAAACTCATCATCAAACAAGCCGACAAGAACATGGGGATTACCTTGATGGACCGTACGGCCTACATTCAAGAGTGCCTAAATCATCTCCTGGACAGAAGCACTTACATTGAAATGGACACAGCTGCAGCAGATTTTGAAGATCCACGGTCTTCGGTTTTTGCTAAGTTGGTTGATATCCGTGCTAACCTTGGACCTTTACTCCCTAGATATTTGTGGACTTATTTTGCTCACCCTCTGAGAAACGGCTGGAAGCCGGCCATCTTCTATGTCATCATGAAAGTGCACAAGAAGATCCCTGTCGGACGACCGATAGCAGCTTCCCATTCCTGGGTTACCGCGAACGTCAGTCGCTGGTTAGACTCTGCACTCCGCCCGTTACTTCTCCAACAACCGACATACCTGAGAGACTCACTCTCGTTGCTTCTTCACCTGGAAAAAACGCCTATGCCGAGGAAGTTACTACTCGCCACGTACGATGTCCAAGCACTCTATCCTTCTATTCCGCTACGAGAAGGAGTCGACGTAGTCCGTTCCTTTCTGGAGCGAGATCCACTTCGTTTCCCTAATGCACCAGTCATCGTGGCTTTGTTGGAATGGGTGATGTTTAACTCTTACGTGGATTTCGATGGTAGGATTTTTCGGCAGATCCAGGGGACCGCGATGGGAACCTCAGTCGCAGTTTGCTTCGCCATCCTCTACATGAGTCGGTTGGACGAAACACTCCGCACTCGCATGGGTCCAAACGTCCCTCTTCTCCATCTCCGCTACATTGATGATGGTTTCATCTGCTGGGGAGTTAGTCAAGAAGGATTAGAGGATTTCTTAGCAGCCTTCAATTCGCTCCGACCTACAATCAAGCTTACATGGACGATTTCCGAGACTTTAGTTGATTTCCTGGATTTAGTCATCCATAGAGGTTAGCGTTTCAACTGCTCAGGCCTACTGGACATCTCTACATTCCAGAAACCCAACAACACGTACCTCTATCTTCCATTCTCATCATTCCATCCACGGCAGTGTAAGGAAGGTTTTATCCGCTCCGAGCTAAAACGCTATCTGCTCAGAAGCTCCAGTTTCGACGATTTCTGCAGCATGAAGCCGACTTTTTTCAAAAGGCTACGCTCCAGGGGATATCCACATCATTTCCTGCTACCTCTCTTTACGGCCATCACTTTCAGTCAACGCGATGAACTCTTACTACAAGCTCTACGACGACAGCAGCTTCGATCTACTACGGGACCAGAATTGAGACCTCACGGACCCTTGGTGCTTAAGACTAATTATACTCCTTACAGTAAAAGTCTACCCCTTGGGTTCGTTTTGAGACGTCTCAAAACACTCCTTCTTTCACGTGGCTTCATTCTTTCTGGTTCTTGTGGATTTCTGCTAGCATGGAAGCTGCCTTCCCGTTTAAAACGAAGACTGATTCAATCGAGGCTCCAAACTGTCGCAGCAGCTTGAACTTTTCCGAGCGACAAAGGTGGTGTTACCACCTTTTCGACTTCTCGGCCCTGGTTACCAACTTTCGCGAACATTCCAACGGAGTTCCGAAGATTTGGGTCAGAGTCCTGGACTCACCTCGAGATCTCACTCCATTTCCGCCTCGACATCTTCATCCATCCGCCTGGTTAGCTCAGCCTGATCGTAGAGTATTTCAGCTAGTTTGTTCATTACCGTCTCTTATTCTCAGGCTTGTTTGTACTGATGAAGGCTCGCAAGAGCCGAAACTAGTTTACTCAAGTTCTGATTTTAAGATTCCGTTTTCGTTCAAACTGGCCTACTAAAATACGATATAGCATACAAGCTTAAAACAGGCTTCCCACTTTCATCTCATGGAGTTTGTTTCGCCGTCTTAATAACATCCAAGTTGATGGACGTCAGACCTCCGCAGCCCACATGTTTACTAATAACAACACCGCGAGTGGCTGGTGATGAGGCGTAATCTGTTCCTCTACATCGTGCAGACCATGCATGTACAGCTCACGCATGTTGCACATGCCTGTTGCAGATAGTCAGTCACAGATGCTGCTGGTTACGGTGGTACAGATGCTGGTTGCAGTGGTGCAGATGCTGGTTACAGTGGTACAGAAGCTGGTTACAGTGGTGCAGATGCTGGTTACAGTGGTACAGATGCTGGTTACAGTGGTACAGATGCTGGTTACAATGGAACAGATGTTGGTTACAGTGGAACAGATGTTGGTTACAATGGTACAGAAGCTGGTTACAATGGTACAGATGCTGGTTGCAATGGTACAGATGCTGGTTACATACGCATGTTACTGATGCCAGTTAGAAATGCATGGTTTAGACGCTTGTTACAACCTCCCCACCCCTCTCATTTTTCTCAATGTGCGCCATCACGCCTTGTCATTCTCTTTTTCCCCGGTCTTCTTCTTCGCACCTTCTCTTCCCCCTCACTCACCACAACCTTTTCCCTCACACACCTTTCCCCAACCCCCCACCAGATCCTCCCCATCGCTATAGTCACAATGTCTGTCTTCTGGCGCTCCCGGTTGTCCATCACCCTTCTGGACAGCAATTTCTATCTGGGAGCAATTTTCTTTGGTATGGTCACAATGCTGTCAAGCAGCATCATCGAGCTCACACTGCTCATGGCCCGCCTGCCCATCTTCTTCCTCCAACGGGACAACCTTCTCTTCCCCGCCTGGGCTTGGTCTGTTCCCATGGCGCTGCTCTCTCTGCCCGTCTCCCTCTGGTCCGCTGGACGTCCATCACCTACTACGGCATCGGCTTCGCCCCCGAATTCTCCCGGTAAGTATAGGTAGGGTACCCGAATTCTCCCGGTAAGTATAGGTAGGGTACCCAAATTCTCCCGGTAAGTATAGGTAGGGTACCCGAATTCTCCCGGTAAGTATAGGTAGGGTACCCGAATTCTCCCGGTAAGTATAGGTAGGGTACCCAAATTCTCCCGGTAAGTATAGGTAGGGTACCCGAATTCTCCCGGTAAGTATAGGTAGGGTACCCGAATTCTCCCGGTAAGTATAGGTAGGGTACCCGAATTCTCCGGGGAAGTTTTGCGTACCGATAAGTTGACCTGCAGGAGCCTTCCACATGACCGCTCAGCACCTACTGAACACTAGGAGCCATCCTGTAGGCGTTAAAGCAGTTCCCCTCCCCTCCCTGCCCTGCCCACCTCTGTCGTCTCCCTTGCAGCTTCATCTCACAGCTGCTGCTCTTCTTCGTCACTCACATGGCTGGCCCTGCTGTCCACTGAGCCATGAGAACCAGTTTCCACGCTCCAAGTGCCTCCACTCTCCCGTAACGCCCCTCTCTCCCTCCCCCCCCCCTCTCTCCCTATGCAGCTTCATCTCACAGCTGCTGCTCTTCTTTGTCACGCACATGGCCGGCTCTGCGCTCTACCGAGCCGTAGCGACGGTCTTGCGAAGCACGACGGTGATCAACACTCTTGGGAACTTCATCATCGTGCTGCTCTTCCTGCTCTCCGGCTTCATCGTCACCAAAGGTGCGTGCTTGTGCGGTGCGTGCTTGTGAGGTGCGTGCTTGTGAGGTGCGTGCTTGTGAGGTGTGTGCTTGTGAGGTGTGTGCTTGCAAGGTGCGTGCTTGTGAGGTGCGTGCTTGTGAGGTGCGTGCTTGTGAGGTGCATGCTTGTGCGGTGCGTGCTTGTGAGGTGCGTGCTTGTGAGGTGCGTGCTCGTGAGGTGTGTGCTTGTGAGGTGTGTGCTTGCGAGGTGCGTGCTTGTGAGGTGCGTGCTTGTGAGGTGCGTGCTTGTGAGGTGCATGCTTGTGAGGTGCGTGCTTGTGAGGTGTGTGCTTGTGAGGTGTGTGCTTGAGAGGTGCGTGCTTGTGAGGTGCGTGCTTGTGAGATGTGTGCTTGTGAGGTGCGTGCTTGTGAGGTGCGTGCTTGTGAGGTGCGTGCTTGTGAGGTGCGTGCTTGTGAGGTGCATGCTTGTGAGGTGCGTGCTTGTGAGGTGCGTGCTTGTGAGGTGTGTGCTTGTGAGGTGTGTGCTTGTGAGGTGTGTGCTTGTAAGGTGTGTGCTTGTAAGGTGTGTGCTTGTGAGGTGCGTGCTTGCGAGGTGCGTGCTTGTGAGGTGCGTGCTTGTGAGGTGCATGCTTGTGAGGTGCGTGCTTGTGAGGTGTGTGCTTGTGAGGTGTGTGCTTGCTTGTGAGGTGCGTGCTTGTGAGGTGCGTGCTTGTGAGGTGCGTGCTTGTGAGATGCGTGCTTGTGAGGTGCGTGCTTGTGAGGTGCGTGCTTGTGAGGTGCGTGCTTGTGCGGTGCGTGCTTGTGCGGTGCGTGCTTGTGAGGTGTGTGCTTGTGAGGTGTGTGCTTGTGAGGTGTGTGCTTGTGCGGTGCGTGCTTGTGAGGTGTGTGCTTGTGAGGTGCGTGCTTGTGAGGTGTGTGCTTGTGAGGTGGGTGATTGTGAGGTGGGTGATTGTGAGGTGGGTGATTGTGAGGTGGGTGATTGTGAGGTGGGTGATTGTGACGTGTGTGATCATATACTTCAAAGACCCACATGTGTCTATAAAGGGGAATAAAGCCACGTGCTCATACTATGCCAGCAACAGGATCACATACGTCCACACACATACACATGCGTACCCATGCCCACACATGCTTACGCATGCTCACATATGCCCACACATGCTCACATATGCCCACACATGCTCACATATTCCCACGCATGCTCACATATGCCCGTCCCACATCGGTCTCCACCCATCCACCCCAGAAGCCCACATCCATGGTGCGCGGTAGACATGAGCAGCCGGCCGGGGCCAGCCCCAGACCGGCCCGCGCGGGCGGTCGCTTTTGTCGGGCCGGCCCATCCCGGGCCGGCCTGGCCAGAAATCCGGCCCGTGGCCGGCCCAACCTTGGCTCCTGGCTGCTCGCGTGACTGCTTAGGAAGTTGCGCGCGGTTCCTTAGTTGCTTGCGTGACTGCTTAAGATAGTTGCACTATACCTCTCGGATGCATCATGCAACTGCTGACGAGTTATCCCAAGTGTGCTCCAGGTAAAGGTTGGGGATGGGTTGTTGTGTTGTGGGTGAAACTAGAAAATGAGTTTCACCCGCAACCTACATCTGACCTGACACTCACGGGTGCGGCTCGCCGGCTCGGGCACCATGCGGGACTGGTGCGGGCCTGGAGCGGGCCGGAACGCGGGCCGGCCCCGTCGCGCGGCAGGCCACGGCTTGGGCCTAACCGACCGGCTCGGCGGGTTTCTGGAAAATCCGGTTCGAACCACCCTAAGGTTGAGCTGGGCCTCATCCCATCGTCATCCAACCCTCATCCAACCCTCATGCTCACATCCTCCTTCACCTGTTCCGTGCCCTCCCCCTGCAGCTGACATCCATGGCGTGTGGGAGTGGGTGTATTGGATCTCGTCCCTCACCTATTGCCAGAACGCCTTTTCTGCTAATGAGTTCCTCGCCCCCCGATGGGATGTGGTATGTGCTGTGCTGTGCCCTGGTACTATATGGTATGTGTGGCGTGGTGGTGTGGTGTGGTGTGGTGTGGTGTGGTGTGGTGTGGTGTGGTGTGGGCGTAATGGATCTCCCTGGCTGGCCTTGGAGCACACGGACAACGCACATTTGGCGACTATCCGCATGAGGGATTCGCTGATGGCAATTGGGCGTGTGCGTGCCCCCCAATGATTGTCCAAGTGCTAAGAGTCTGGACGCAGTGAGCAGAGCCATCACGTCCTCTGTTAGCGTCCCCGTGAGGGAGATGTGAGCGAGGGAGATGTGAGCGAGGGAGATGTGAGCGAGTGAGATGCAGCGAGTACGATGCAGCGAGTAAGATGTGAGTTCGAAAATCAGAGATGGGAAAACGTCAGATAAAGGCGTGTTAGTTGCCGATGGCGCTTGTACTGCGCGTCTGAGGCTCTGCCTTAGCGATTCTGTCCTGGTCGTCTGGTGCGCTTCATGGGGTTGGGTGCGCTTCTGTCCCCTCTTCTTCTCTCACTCTCTGTCTCTCTCCACACCCTTCTCATCCCACCTCCCCTTTCTCCTGTTTTATCCCCTTTCCTTTCCTCAACCCCTTTCAACTCCTCCTCCCTCCTGTACTCCCTCCTCTCAACTCTCCTCCCTCATCCTCCTTCGTATCCCTCCTCACCCTTCTCCTACTTACCTCCATTCTCCTTCCCCCCTCCTCCCATGCCTCCGCCCCAGCTCTCCGATCCCCCCTCGCTGAACACAACACTGGGCCTGCAAGTGCTCACACCGCGCAGCCTGTGGACCGACGCCTACTGGGTGTGGGCGGGAGGGCTCGTTGGAATCGCCTTCACTCTCTTCTGCAATGTGGTTACCATCCTTGCATTTAAATACCTCAATCGTAAGCACCTTTTTTTTTTTTTTTTAGACCGTTAGTCGTACCATGCCATGCCATAGATTTTGACCTCATCCATCCACCACGCTTTTGAGTCGACTCAAAAGCATAGATTTTGACCTCATCCATCCACCACGCTTTTGAGTCGACTCAAAAGCATATATTTTGACCTCATCCATCCACCACGCTTTTGAGTCGACTCAAAAGCATAGATTTTGACCTCATCCATCCACCACGCTTTTGAGTCGACTTAAAAGCATAGATTTTGACCTCATCCATCCACCACGCTTTTGAGTCGACTCAAAAGCATAGATTTTGACCTCATCCATCCACCACGCTCTCACTCCTCTATGGCTCCCCTGCTCTCTCTCTCTTTCTCTCCCTCCTTTTCCTTTCCCTTCTCTTTCTCCACCTCCTTCCTCACTCTCCTCTTGCTCTCTCCCACTCATCTCCGTTTATCTCACTGCCCCAAATCCTTTTGCTAGAAAGACTCCACTTTTTTAAACCAATGGCTCTCCCTTTCTCTGACTCCCCTCGCCTTGCCTTCGCACCAACAGTTGGATGCTTTTATTTATCCTGTCCGTCTCCCCTACCACCACTCCGTCTCCCCAACCACCACTCCGTCTCCCCAACCACCACTCCGTCTCCCCTCGTTGTGCCCATTCCCCCACCCCTCCCTCTCCATCCACCCCTCCCTCTCCATCCACCCCTCCTTCTCCAACCAACCTGCCCCATGGCCCAGTCAGCTGTCCCCCACCATCTGCTGAACGCCAAAAAAAAAAAAAAAAAAAAAAAAAAAAAAATCTAGCTATATGCTCTTGATTTATCCTCTTCCACCCCCATTCCTCCTCCCCTTTCACCCCCTCCCCTCCCCCTCGCCTTCCCCCACCCAGCTTGGCCCAGGGCCCAGCCAGTGATCTCCCAGCATCAGCTAGACGCTCGAGAGATAGCTCTAGGCAGCACCAACCTGGAATGTTCCTCACGCTCCTCCTCCCTGTGCTCCCTCACGCTCTCCCGCATCGGCTCCACTGCCATTGCCCGCTTCCTCGCCACCGACCGCTTCCACTCCCCCAAGAGCCTCGCCAGACCTTCCCTTTCTGCCCGCTCGCTCACAAGCCTTCCTTCGGGCAGCACGAAGGTTCATCTGCGAGTGATGTCAGAAGGAGGTCAAGGGGAAGCGGGAGGGGGAGAGCTGGGAAGGGATGTTGCTGAGAGTACAGGTATCACTGCAATTAGCACCACATGAGCCAGGGGTAATAATCAGCGGCAAAGGAAAGTAATCTCCTTCTTGAGTGATGGGGATGCTGCAGGTGATGGTACAGGGATCACTGCTGCTAGGGGCACAGGGGGCGGAGAGGAAGTAGAGAAGGAGAGGAATTCTCTGACAAGAAACGAGAGCCTGGAAAGAGATGAGTTACATTCAGTTGCATCATCGGGCACAATACCTGAACTCGCTTTTGATCCTCATGCTCATCCGAAGCACCTTGATGATAATGATCGTGAAGTGGCCACCGGACCCTCTGATGGGGGGGAACTCAGCCAGCATGGCATGTCCTCCCCTTTGATCCGCTCACTCTCTCCTTCCACTACGTAAACTACTATGTCGACATGCCCGCTGAGCTAAAGGACAAGGCCGCGCGGCCCGGCCAGCGGCTGCAACTGCTGCGTAACGTGTCCGGCGTGTTTCGTCCCGGAGTGCTGACCGCCTTGATGGGGGTGTCGGGGTATTGTGAGCAGGTGGACATTCACACGCCCCAGGTGACCGTGCACGAGTCTCTGCTCTACTCCGCCTGGCTGCGCCTACCCGAGGAGATCGATAGAGATGTCATCCTGGTGAGTGCAAGGGTGGATTGGGAGATGCGATCCTGGTGAGTGGCGGGGTGAGTCGCGACATGTGATAATGGTAAATTGGGAGATGTGATAAGGGTGAATGGGGATATGTGAGAATGGTGAATGGAGATATGTGAGAATGGTGAATGGAGATATGTGAGAATGGTGAATGGGGATATGTGAGAATGGTGAATGGAAATATGTGAGTATGGTAAATGGAAATATGTGCTAATGTTGAATGGAAATATGCGGTAATGGTGAGAAGAGAGATGTGAGAATAGTGAATGGAGGGGTGTGTTGATGAAGTAGGTGAGAGGGGTGATGGAGCTGGTGGAGATGCAGGCAGTGAAACCGGTGCTCTGGGGGAGTCCGTGCTCACGTCTCTCCCCTCATCCTCTCGAGCATTCCCACCCCCACTATCCTCTCCCCTCACCCCTTCAAGCACACTATCCACCCCTTCAAGCACACTCATCCAACAAAACTTCCCTCTCTTATCTCCGCACTCCTCTCTTCCCTCTCTCATCTCCGCCCTCCTCTCTTCCCTCTCTCATCTCCGCACTCCTCTCTTCCCTCTCTCATCTCCGCACTCCTCTCTTCTCTCTCTCATCTCCACACTCCTCTCTTCCCTCTCTCATCTCCGCACTCCTCTCTTCCCTCTCTCATCTCCGCACTCCTCTCTTCCCTCTCCATCTCCGCACTCCTCTCTTCCCTCTCCATCTCCGCACTCCTCTCTTCCCTCTCCATCTCCACACTCCTCTCTTCCCTCTCCATCTCCGCACTCCTCTCTTCCCTCTCTCATATCTGCACTCCTCTCTTCCCTCTCTCATCTCCGCACTCCTCTCTTCCCTCTCTCATCTCTGCACTCCTCTCTTCCCTCTCTCATATCTGCACTCCTCTCTTCCCTCTCCATCTCCGCACTCCTCTCTTCCCTCTCCATCTCCGCACTCCTCTCTTCCCTCTCTCATCTCTGCACTCCTCTCTTCCCTCTCTCATCTCCGCACTCCTCTCTTCCCTCTCTCATCTCCGCACTCCTCTCTTCCCTCTCTCATATCCGCACTCCTCTCTTCCCTCTCTCATCTCCGCACTCCTCTCTTCCCTCTCTCATCTCCGCACTCCTCTCTTCCCTCTCCATCTCCGTACTCCTCTCTTCCCTCTCCATCTCCCATGTCCCATCTCCCATCTCCCATCTCAATCCCCTCTCCCTACGCCCCATGAAATTCGAGGAGGGGGTGATGGAGCTGGTGGAGCAAGCACCGTTAACACCCTGACAGCCCGTTCTGCACGTGAAGATGGGACGGGCTGTCAGCAACCCCCCATCCGCACTCCCCTGTTTGCAATATCCCCCAGGAATTCGTGGAGGTGGATGAGTTGGTGGAGTTAGAGCCGGTAGAAGGGGGCGCTGGCGGGAGTCTGTGCTCATGCCTCGCTCCCCCCTCCCCTCTGCCCTCTCCTCTCCAGGAATTCGTGGAGGAGGTGGAGGACCTGGTGGAGCTAGAGCCGGTAAAGGGAGCTCTGGTGGGGAGGGCGGGGCAGGACGGGCTGTCGGTGGAGCAGAGGAAGCGGCTGACCATCGCAGTGGAGCTCGTAGCCAACCCCGCCATCATCTTCATGGATGAACCCACCTCAGGTACCACCTCCCCCTCAGGTACCACCTCCACCTCCAATAACACCGCCCCCCCCCCCCTCAGGTAAAGTCTTTCTTGCAGGAGGACCTGGTCTATGTTGGTGAAACCCTATGGTTTGCACTCGGCTTGTTGTCCGTGTGCGTGCATGTGTGTGTGTGTCTATGGAATGGTATGAGGGCATGGGATAATATATATTTAATGCTTATAATTGTGTGTGAATGTTGAGTCATGATGTCGAGTGTATGTGTCGAGTCAATAGCGAGTTATCGCTAGACGCGTGTTACGCGGTCGTTTGTGTCTCGCGCGCGGTTTCTATTTTGTCGTGCGCGGTTTCTCTTTTGTCCTGTGTCGAACGTTCGGTGTGTCGCAGGTGTGTGCAGCAGACCCATCAAGAACTCAAGGATGAGTTTGTGATGAAGAGCCGAGCCTTGGTGTCAATCCACAAGTGATTTCAAAGCTCGCCAAAAGGGTACACCTCAAGATATTGAAGATAGTTACATTACTTTGTGTAGTGTAACATTTCACTTGGTGTAGGCCCTAGTGAAGGGTAGTTTCGAGACCCTTCGTGGTTGGGGACAGTGTGGCACTGTTCCACATCACTGTACCTCGGCTCTTGGGGTTTGTAGGAGCTGGGAGTCATTCCCAACTCGTAACTCTTCCTAACTCTTCCTATCTTGTGTTCTAAGACCATAGTGGCTGCTATAGTGCCGTTCGTTCAAACCAACCCTGTGTCGTCAATACTTGGTCAAATCGTGCGATCTAAATTGCCTATTGTAGGCGACAATAAGGCGCTCTAGATCCATGTTGAATCAAGTCATTTGAAGCTGTGACCAAAACGCTATGAATGTTTGAAGCCGCTGTGCAGAAATCCAACTGTGCACTCTATCTTTCGTTTTAGGCACATTGGAGCCTACTGTGACTATAACAAGTGGTATCAGAGCCCCTCGGAGCAGTTTCGACAATGACTGGACCTGAGGAAAGGGGTGGCAGAGGTGCTGGTGGCAGAGGAGAAGCCCAAGCTCAAGGCCAACCCCGTGACTCAGCCATGGCGCCCGTGCAACCAAGTGTTGGCCCATCTAGGGATGAGCCTAGAGTGTTTGGCCTTGACAAGTTCAATGGTGACAACTTTGCTGAGTGGTCCTTCAGAATGGAGAACATATTTGACCACTATGACCTGCTGGAGGTGATGGAAGGAACGGAGAAGCGTCCCGAGAACGACCCGGAGAAGAGCCCGTGGGTGCGGAAGAGCGCACAAGGCTACCTCCTACTTGGGCAAGCGTTGGGGAGCAGCCAAATCCGTCACATCAAGCCCTTCCAGCGTGAACCAGAGAAGGGACCAAAAGCATGGGCTGCTCTCAAGGGTGTACATCAAGCCCTTCCTGCAACAGCGGCGGTAGCTGTGGTGTTGGAACGGCAAATGGCGACGTTACGAATTGAAGAGGATGAAGCGGTTGAAGAAGGGGTGCAGAAATTCTTCGACTTGTTGACGCGGCTTGAGGGAGCTGATTTGAACTATAGTGAGCTCCAAAAGAAGACCAAGTTGCTGGCCCTACTCCCGGAGTCATGGTCCTCGCTCATCATCAACCTTAATCGTGACTTGCCCCGCCTCTCGCTTGAAGACGTGAAGCGAGCTATCCTTCAAGAGGATTTCCGCCGCCGTGAATTGGCGAGTGCGGATGGCGCTGGGGCAGCGAGCATCGGCCGTGGATATGGTCGAGGAAGAGGCAGAGGACGAGGGGGAGGAAGGTTTGGTGGCAGCAACTTCGGCGGAGGCCGTGGGAGTGGCGGTTACGGCAGCGACGAGAAGAACTACGGACGCGGTCGCGGCCGATTCGACGACGAGTGTCACTATTGCCACAAGAGCGGACACATGTGGCGCGACTGCTACAAACTCCCTGATGGTTGGACCCCTGCTCAAGGCCAAGAGGGTAGAGGAGCAGGAGGAGGGAGAGGAAGAGGCCGTGGAGGCCGTGGCGGTTGCGGTGGCGGAGCTGCAAACATGAAGAGCGGAGACAACGACAAGGACCCGAGCGACGATCGATACCCGGGTCTATTCTACTTCGTGTCGACGCAAGTACCGGCTGGTCCAGAGAAGGATGAAGGCTTTGAGGAGCCAGCAGCTGTGGGGAAGGTGACCCTACACCCCCTGGACGATTGGGTGATTGATAGTGGCGCTACCTATAGCATGACACCTCGCCCGGACTTGCTCACCGAACTCGAGCCGTCACCGGTGAAGCATGTCACATCGGCTTTGGGGCAGCGAGCAGAGGTGAAAGGCATGGGGAAGGCCATGTTCAAGGGTGCTGATGGGAAGATGGTGGGCCTCAAGAACGTGCTTTGGGTGCCCAGCCTTGCTGCAAACCTGATTTCCGTGCGGCGGTTGGCAAAGGCCGGCATGGACACTAACTCGAAGGGAGCCAAGACCTACACCGCAAGGCTTGGCGATCGGATTCTTTGGGACCTTCATGAGGACAGAGATGTCTACAACGAGATGTGGCAGATCCCTGTGGTCCCAATGCCTAAGGAGAGGCAAGTGGCAGCAAGCGTCAGCACTAAAGGTGGAGCGGTTGGTAGCGGCGATTGCGCGGACGGTCGCGCTAAGGAGAAGGAGTCCAAGAAGTGCAATCTTGGAGGGACCAGCAAGTTCAGTGAACCTAAGAAGAGTGGTGCAGCAACCAAGGAGCAGCAAAAGGGTGAGGAGAACCCCGAGGCAACAGCGGAGGAGGACTACGGAGAGAGTATGTGGGGCGCTATTGCGAGCGCGGCATTCTCCAATCCAACTTCGGCTACGGGGGAGTGTGATTGGCTCACCTTGCATCGGCGCATGGGGCATGTGGCCCTGCCCATCTTGCAGCAGCTAGTGAAGAATGAGATGGTTGCTGGCATACGTGTGAAGGGGGAGCCCGATGAGGTACTTGGCTGCCCGACGTGCATGCAAGCCAAGTTCACCCGTTACCCATTCTTTAGTTCGGAGGCAACGGCTAAGGCACCACTTGATGAGGTGGTGATGGACGTGGTGGGCCCCCTGAAGCTTGGAGCTGCTGGAGCTGAGTACTTCCTCACTATTGTTGACGTCTACACCCGTTTGACTTGGGTGTACGTGCTGGCCAAGAAGAGCGACGTGGCTGAAACGTTGAAGGCGGATTGGTTCCCGATGGTGGAGCGGCAACAAGACCGTCTAGTCAAGTCAATCCGCACCGATCGAGGGGGAGAGTTCCTGAGCAAGGAGTTTGGGTTGTGGCTGAAGAAGAATGGTATTCGACACTCCCTCACCATGCCATACTCCCCTGCAATGAACGGCATCGCTGAGCGAGCGAACCGCACAATCACGGAGGCGGCACGCGGGTTGCTCATTGAAGCCGGGCTACCCGACTATTTCTGGCCTGATGCGGTGCGGAGCGCATGTGTGGCCAAGAACAGAGCCTTGACTCATGTGGGAGCAGACAAATGGGTGCCCTATGTGGAGTGGCTAGGAAGGAAGCCAAAGGTGGATATGCTTCGGGTGTTCGGGTGCATGTGCATGGCGCTTGTGCCTAAGCATCTTCGGCACAACAAGCTTGGTGCCAAGGCGGTGTGGGCCGTGCACTTGGGCATGGCTCAAAACAGCAAGGGATGGCTTCTTTGGGACCCATTCACCAAGAAGTTCTTGGTGAGCAGGGACTGCAAGTTCATGGAGAACTTCATGTACAAGGATTGGAAGGCGGAGAATGAGGCGAAGATAGGCGTGCGGTTTGGGGAGGTGAAGAGTTCCGGTTTGGAGCATGTGGAGCTGCCTTTGGAGCTGAGCAGCGGCAGCACAACCACGAGGCAATCCTCCCTTGTGAAAGGGGGAGAGGAGGCCACTGATGCAGAGGAAGAAGAGGAGGAGGTGCAGCAAGTGAGTGAGCGTGCACCGTCACTCCCTTCCCGTACCACGAGTGCTCCACGGAATCGAGCCACACCGCAGCAACGCCAAGGCCTTCAAGTCGCTGCAGCTGAGGAGGAAGGAAGGGGGAAGAGGAGAGTTCAACCCCCTAATAGGCTGACCTATGATGCACTTGGAAAGCAAGGCAAGACAGCCCTGGCCGGAGCGGCAATGATGGTCGGAGACGATGAGGAGAGTGACTACGAGGAGTGTGCCTTCGCGTTCTTCTCTCCGGTGGAGATGCCGGGAGAACCAGCAACTCTCAAGGAGGCTTTGGAGAGTAGTGATGCTGAGGAGTGGAAGAAGGCTTTGGAGAGTGAGCTGAAGAGCATCGAGGAGAATGACACGTTTGAATTGGTGGAGCTACCGGAGGGGCGTACGGCGATAACGTCCAAGTGGCTCTTCAAAATCAAGTCGGATGCCGACGGCAAGATCGAGCGTTACAAGTCTAGGCTTGTAGCCAAGGGGTACCAGCAGAAGGAGAAGGTGGACTTCAAGGAGCTGTTTGCCCCTGTGGTGAAGCCGACGACGCTGCGAACCCTATTCGCGGGAGCCGCCATCAAAGGATGGGTGGTGAAGCAAATGGACATTGTGACGGCATTCCTTAACGGCATCCTTGAGGAGGAGATTTTTATGGCACAGCCAGAGGGGTTTGATGATGGTAGTGGCAGAGTGTGGAAGCTGAAAAAGGCCCTCTATGGGCTGAAGCAGGCCCCTAGGCAATGGTACATGAAGCTGCGCGAAGTGTTGGAGGAGATCGGCTTCACTCCCTCAACGGCCGATCACTCCTTGTTCATGCTTGGCGAGGGGGAGCAGAGGAGCTTCATGGTGGTTTATGTGGATGACATTCTCATATTCTCACCCTCCTCTGACCTTGTGAAGGAGGTGATGCTGAAGCTGCATGACAAGTTCAAGTGCAAGTCCCTTGGTGACGTGAACTTCTACCTTGGGCTCCACATCGAACGAGACGTGGAGAAGCGGAGCATGCGAGTGCACCAACGGAAGTACCTGGAGGCGTTGGCTGCCAACTTCGGCCAGAGTGAAGGTCATGTGGCTACTCCCTTTCCCTCTGGGTTCAAGTGTGTGAAGGGGCCAGAGGAGGAGAGCGTTGGAGAAGAGGAGAGGCGCCGATTTCACTCGTTGGTGGGCAGCCTCATGTATGCGGCGGTAAACACCCGACCGGACGTCGCGTTTGCTACCGGGCAGCTGGCTAGGGTTGTGCAATGCCCTAATGAGGAGCAGGTAGCAGCTGGAATGAGGGTGTCCAAGTATCTTGGCCAAACACCGACCGTTGGGCTGCAATACTCGGCGGCGGCACAAAGGCGCCAAAAGGGCGCGGATGGTGTTGAACCCGGGCGTTTGTTCCTCACCGCCTACTCGGATGCTTCATATGCATCAGAACCAGAGGACATGACAAGTGTGGGAGGCTTCATATGCTGTGTTGGTGGAGGCCCAACTGCTTGGGAGAGCAAGAAGCAGGTTGACCAAGCTTTGAGCTCGGTGGAGTCCGAATACATGGCACTCTTCCGTGCCGTACGGGAGATTGTGTGGCAGCGGCGTTTGTTGGCTGAATTGGGGGAGGAGCAGCAAGGACCTACCCCACTGTATTGTGACAGCCAGGGTGTCATTGCTCTTGCTAAGAACCCTGTGTTGCATGGACTCACGAAGCACATGAGGGTGAAGTGGCATTGGACGAGGAGCATGGTAACCGCGGGTGAAGTTGAGTTGCGCTACGTGAAGACCACGGGGCAGCCGGCTGACATGATGACCAAGAGGCTGGTGGAGCAGCAGCATTGGAAGTGTTGCAAGCTGGCTGGGATGGCTCTGAACTGACAGAGCAACACATCCTAAGGCCAACAATCCGAGGGGGAGTTTGTTGGTGCAACCCTATGGTTTGCACTCGGCTTGTTGTCCGTGTGCGTGCATGTGTGTGTGTCTATGGAATGGTATGAGGGCATGGGATAATATATATTTAATGCTTATAATTGTGTGTGAATGTTGAGTCATGATGTCGAGTGTATGTGTCGAGTCAATAGCGAGTTATCGCTAGACGCGTGTTACGCGGTCGTTTGTGTCTCGCGCGCGGTTTCTATTTTGTCGTGCGCAGTTTCTCTTTTGTCCTGTGTCGAACGTTCGGTGTGTCGCAGGTGTGTGCAGCAGACCCATCAAGAACTCAAGGATGAGTTTGTGATGAAGAGCCGAGCCTTGGTGTCAATCCACAAGTGATTTCAAAGCTCGCCAAAAGGGTACACCTCAAGATATTGAAGATAGTTACATTACTTTGTGTAGTGTAACATTTCACTTGGTGTAGGCCCTAGTGAAGGGTAGTTTCGAGACCCTTCGTGGTTGGGGACAGTGTGGCACTGTTCCACATCACTGTACCTCGGCTCTTGGGGTTTGTAGGAGCTGGGAGTCATTCCCAACTCGTAACTCTTCCTAACTCTTCCTATCTTGTGTTCTAAGACCATAGTGGCTGCTATAGTGCCGTTCGTTCAAACCAACCCTGTGTCGTCAATACTTGGTCAAATCGTGCGATCTAAATTGCCTATTGTAGGCGACAATAAGGCGCTCTAGATCCATGTTGAATCAAGTCATTTGAAGCTGTGACCAAAACGCTATGAATGTTTGAAGCCGCTGTGCAGAAATCCGACTGTGCACTCTATCTTTCGTTTTAGGCACATTGGAGCCTACTGTGACTATAACAGTCTATGTATGAATGATATGTCCCTTGCGTAAAGATAAATAGAGGCTCCCCTTCTCACCTTTTCCCGTGGCCAGCCATTGCTTGGCACCCCAGGTCAGGTAAAACCCACCCCTCAGGTCAGGTAGTACTTGCTCCTTAGGTCACCTTTCTCTCTTCTCCCTCCTCGCATCCTCTGCAGGGCTGGACTCAAGGGTAGCGGCCAAAGTGATGAGGGCGGTGCGCAACAAAGCCAAAACTTGCCACGCATTGTTTCTACCTCTTTCCCCCTCATGCTCCTCTCCCTCCATCTCCTCACAACCTCGTCCCTTCTCAGGCCTGGATGCCAGGGCAGCGGCCATAGTGATGAGGGCGGTGCGCAACACTGTGAACACGGGCCGCACAGTCGTGTGCACCATCCACCAGCTATCCATCGATATCTTCGAGGCCTTTGACGAGGTAACAGGCAGATATGATGTGCACTCCTTCGAGATTACACTGAGGTGGCATTCGCCATATTGTGTGTGATACTTGGCATGGGGCCGCACAGCACAGTGGTGTGCGTGCACCGTCCACCAGCCGTTAATCGACATATTTGAGGCATTTCACAAGGTAACATGCACACACAATATGCACTTGTATAACTATACACTAAGATGGCAAACACCATATTGTGTGCGATACATCGCATGGGGTCGCATAGGGGTGTGCAGTGCACCATCCACCAGCGGTCCATCCACATGCTTGAGGCATTTGACGAGATGGGCTTATATGACATGTAACTTGATTGGTGTACACGAAAATGCATTCACCAGATTGTGCTTAATAAAGTTCGGCATGGGTCGAGTCGTATGCCTGTTCACATTGTTTAAGCGTTTGGCAAGGTATTGTGCATAGAAACTGTGCGTGATGCAACGAATGTACATTGTAAGTACGATGCCATCTATACCGCTGCACAGTGATCTGCACCGCTCACCACCGCGCCTCCTATCATATCCTCACCCTTCTCCTTGCATACCCTTGCCTCTTCTCTCCCGCTCGCCCCTCCCCTTTCATTATCGCCCCTCTCCTCCCATACTTGCCTCTCTCTTCTCATGCCCCACCACCCCTCTCCTGCCTGTCTTGCGGTTGAGCCCTGCAGCTGCTGTTGATGCAGAGGGGAGGAGAGGTCATCTACGCGGGGTCACTGGGGAAGCAGTCATGCGACCTCGTTCGCTACTTCAAGGTAAGGCAAACAGTGCTACTTCAAGGCAAGGCTCACACTGCTACCTTAAACCATTGTCACAGGTCTGGGATTGTAATTCAAACCTTTTCACACGCCCCTGTCTTATCTTAAAACAATGTCCCGAAACCACTTCGCTAAGACCATGCTATTGCATAAAACCTTCTAAAATCATCGTGTCTTAAACCCAAGGTGCAAAAACGCAGCCGTTGGTTTTGAAAATTTACCATAAAATCCGGTATCGTATAAAACGGTATTGTATAAAGGTATAGAGCCACTTCTGATGTACTTAGAGGGCAATAACTAAATTGCACAACTAAGCAACGCGACAATCTCGGGTTCAGAAATCAGCCAAGCGGAGGTTCCGCACGAGAGTGAAAATGAATCATTCTCGAAACCCAGCGGGAGCAGAAGGTGAACTGGGCAGATTTTGCTTCCCAATTCCGCCGTTGTCCTTTGAGGAGCCTTCAACTCTAATATAAACTAGCCCATTGTAGTTCATATTCTTACACCCTTCGCATACCTTCTCCCTCAATACTGCACTTCTCTTCTCCTTTGCCGCCTTCCCTCAATAGCGCCCCTTCGCTTCCCTCCACTTTAGTCGTTTGCACTTTGTAACCAGACTTCTCCTCATCCCTCCCACCATGTACATTCCCCTTCTTGCAGCCCATCCTGACGGTACCATCCATCCAGCCTCACAGCACCCATACACCCATCCAATGCAGCACAGCACCCTCTGCAACCTCCTTCTACCATTCTGTTTTGTGGTGCCCATTCAGCCCAGAGTCGAGCCCGCAGAGTGCCATACCCTTCCTTTCCTTATTATCCCCCTCCTTTCCGCTAACTGCCCCATCCATCATTCGTTCTCCACCCACCCATGCATGCCTCCGGACCAAACCAAACCATCTCAAGAGTGCCGTGCGCCCATCCAGCCAAGGACCAATGCTGGACTGAGTGACTGCTCAAGCTCGTTGTTTCCTCTCTCACCCTTCCTCCCCGTTTCCGCTACCAACCCCCATCCCTCCTCCAGGCCATCCCAGGGGTGCCGCCCATCCAGCCCGGGGCCAACCCAGCAGCGTGGATGCTCGAGGTCACAGCGTCAGCATCAGCAGAGCGACTCAGAGTCGACTTTGCTCACCTGTTCCTCCAATCCGACCTGTTCAGGTGAGAACAGTAGAACCTCGGGCATGGACAGCAGAACCTCAGGTGAGGACAGCAGAGCCTCAGGTGAGGACAGCAAAACCTCAGGTGAGGACAGCAGAGCCTTGGGTGAGGACAGCAGAGCCTCAGGTGAGGACAGTAGAGCCTCATGGGAGAAGATTAGTCTCAGGTGAGGAAAGCAGGGGCAGAGAACGGCAGTGGTTCAGAGCCTTCTGAATTCCAGTAAGTCAAGTTAAGTATGCCACCCAGAGCCTTTTCATTGCCAGTCAATTCAGGTCAATTCAGGCCTTTTTCCAACTCCTCCGGCTTACCCCTCTTTTCTCCCTTACCCTGTTCTCTCCCTTGCCTTCTCTCCCTTGCCCGCGTCTCTCCCTTACCCTCTTCTCTCCCTTGCGCTCTGCGCTCTTCTCTCCCTTGCGCTCTTCTCTCCCTTGCGCTATTCTCTCCCTTGCGCTCTTCCCTCCCTTGCCCTCTTCTCTCCCTTGCTCTCTTTCCTCCTTGCCGTCTTCTCTCCCTTGCCCCGTTCTGTCCCTCGTCTTCTACTTTCCCTTGCCCCTTCTCCCTGTTTACCTCTACTCTCTCTTATCCCTCTCACCCTCAGGTCCATAGAGGCTCTAATCTACGAATCCAGCATGTTCCCCAAAGGGGAACCAGATCTTCACTTTCCAACTCACTACCCGACAACACTGCTCTCGCAGTTCGCCACCCATGTGTGGAAGCGGCACCGCATGTACTGGCGCATGCCCGACTACAACGACGCGCGCCTCTTCTTCTCCTTCGTCATGAGTCTCCTCATTGGCGGCGTCTTCTTCGGCTCTGGAAATTCACGGGAGACGCCGCAGCAGATTGTGAACGTCATGGGGGCACTCTACACTGCTGCTCTCTTCCTCGGGTGGAGCAATCTTGCATCCATCCAGCCAATGCTTGCGGTGGAAAGGAGTATTTATTACCATGAGCGCGGTGCCGAGATGTACAGTGCTATCCCGTATGCACTCGCGCAAGGGGTGATTGAGCTACCGTACCTACTGGTGCAAACGGTGGTGTACTCGCTATTAACGTACTGCATGATTCTGTTTGAGTGGACGCCCAGAAAATTCTTGTGGTACCTGCTGTTCCAGTTCCTCACACTGCTCTACTTCACGTGTTTCGGCATGATCGCAAGTGCCATCACGCCCGCTGAAGGGCTGGGAATGCTGTTCTCGGCCTTCATCTACTCCTTCTGGAACCTTCTCTATGGTTTCCTGCTGCCGCAACCAGAGAGTGCCGTGCTCGTTGCTCTCTGTTGTCGCTTCTCAAGTGGCGATGGGGCAAGATTACCGTGGCATACCCTTAAAAGTGTGCGCATAACCTTGTGCTTTTGATTGTGTGGATGAACTCAGAGGTGGCCCAACACATGTGGTCAAGACACTGTCACTCCCAACCTTGTGTCCTTACTTCCCCTTCTCTAACTTTTCCTTTTCTTCTCCCATACAACCTTTCCTCCCCTCATACATTCAACAGAAAAACCCTGTGTATTGGAAATGGTTGTATTGGATCAACCCTGTTGCATGGTCCCTGTACGGCCTCTCTGCTTCCCAGGTAAGCATGTTTGATAGGACTCGGTTGTGCCACGTTATCGAAAGCTGCTTTCAAGGTAAAGCCGCCTCTTCCCCAGTCCCATTCCCACGGGCCTCATAGTTTTATCATTAGCTCAATGTGTGTGGGCGTTTAGTACTTGGTTCCAACGCACAAAAGTTGCTTACAGTGAGGAGTGGCTGTTCAATTAGTCGATCTAAGTGTGCGGGCGTTTAGTACTTGGTTCTAGTCCACATAATCATATGTAGTGAAGAGTGCAGGATGCAAACAATTCAATGTAGTAACAACTGCCAAGGGAAGCTCTCCAGTCTCTCGCTCTTGCCTGTTCTTTGTTCCATCCTTAACTTCTCTACATGTTCTTCGTTTCATCTCTGCTTGTGTTACAGCTGGGAGATGTAACGACACTGGTGGTGAATCCACCAAGCATGCCAGATCAGACGGTATCGCAGTTCATCCAGCTCTACTACGGCTTCTCCCACGACTGGCTAGGCTATGCCGTTGTTGCCCTGCTCGGCTTCTCCTGCCTCTTCTTCTATGTGTGCACCTACGCCCTCCGCAATCTCAACTTCCAAATGCGATAGGTTGGGGAGTGATGAGATGGAAAGAATGGATAATGTTATGGTCAGAAAATATGGCGGTTGCCCTTAGATTGTTTTCTCTCCTTTTCTGATTTAGAAATTAGAACCTCGACTTTACTTGTGTTTGTTTCCCTTCCGCGCATTCAAAGTATAATAAGTTGGACCCTTACCTTTTGGTGTACCGTGAGGCCTCGAATATAAGCGCATGCCTATTAGAAGCGCATACGCTTCTATCTGGAGCACTGCGCTTATGGCCGGCCCTCGATTATAAGCGCACCCCTATTAGAATAGCGTGATTTATCATAAGCGCATGTGAATGTATAAAATGAAAATATGCAACGGAAGGAGGCTCCCCGTTTTTCCCTCGAGTCTTTTTGCCTCTCAAGCGCAAGACCCAGTCCAGTATGTTGTTGGAATAACCAAAAGGTTATTTTAAGCATTCTCGAAGGCTGTCCACTCTCGCGTCACTTCATAGCAAAGCAGGCGCCTATATCAGTACCGCATTAGCTCATATAGAGCACGCGGAAGGTCGAGGGTCACCCGAAGGTCAACAGTCGAAGACAGTCAACGGTCGTGGTGAACCTTGACTGCCTAGTAACCGCACAAGGCAGTTGCGAAGTGCAACATGGTAACTGTCTAGAAAGGCAATAGTCGTGGTTGCTGTAGCAATGCAATTCAGTTAGTAAGGGCGTGTAAAATCCGCGCAAATATGCGGAGTCTGCTTTTGGCCCGTTTTACGTCGACGATCTGGTCTACCTTTCTTTCGCGAAAGTCGACGAATTGGTCGACTTCATGTCGTCACATTTACAGCCACTATTTGCAGATTTGCAAACTTTACAGGTTTGAGGGCCAAATTCCACGCCGGTTTCAAAAAGTAGTAAAATTTGCAGTTGTTACAGTAGGAACGTATGTGCGACGGGGTCGTACATTCGACGGTGAAAATTCTGATTGTACAATATAAAAAAAAATAAAAAAAAATCAGTTGTTCTGCGAGACCTGTCAGAACTTTATAGCTTATGCAATTGTGTAGGCTATAGTGGGGTATCCCATAGGGGGTACAACCCAATTAGGGTTTCCTATTTGTACTCACTTCTCTCATAGTTCATTCATTTTCTCGTTCTAGTGTTTCACATGGTTTCAGAGCGGTTACGCTATGGGCCTGTAGGTACTACTGCTTCCGCTGCTACATGCTCTGTCGCACGCCCCGAGGCGTGCGACGCATTTTCAATCTCGCCGCGTGCCACTTTGGCGCGCGCCTCGGGGCGCGCGGCCCATTTCTTTTCTGGCGCCCCGCCCGTCCCGGCCCCTAGCCACCCGCGCGCCGCCCATCCCGGCCCCTAGCCGCCCGTGCGCCGCCCGTCCCGGCCCTTAGACGCCCGCGCGCCGCCCGTCCCGGCCCTTAGCCGCCCGTGCGCCGCCCGTCCCGGCCCTTAGACGCCCGCTCGCCGCCTGTCCCAGCCCTTAGACGCCCGCGCGCCGCCCGTCCTAGCCCCTAGCCGCCCGCACGCCGCCCGTCCCGGCCCTTAGCCGCCCGCGCGCCGCCCGTCCCGACCGCGCGCCGCTGTTCCAGCCCGTCGACGCCCGTGTGCCGCCCGTCCCGGCCCCACGCCGCCCGTGCGCCGCCCGTCCCGGCCCCGCGCCGTCGTCCCGGCCCCAACTCCGCCCGTGCGCCGCCCGTCCCGGCCCCACGCCTCCCGTGCGCCGCCCGTTCCGGCAGCGCGCCGCCGTCCCGGCCCCACGCCGCACGTGCACCGCCCGTCCCGGCCCCGCGCAGCTGCCCCGGCCCGTCGCCTGCTGCATTGCCGAGCCGCCCCCCCCACTGAGCCGCCAAACTACAGTTGCTGCCGAGCAGCCGTACCGCCGAGCCGCCCGAGTCGCCCGAGCAGCCGAGCCGCCCGGGTCGCCCGAGCCGCCGAGCCGCCGTTGCTGCAGTGCCGCCGTGCCGCCGAGTCGCCGAGTCGTCGAGCCTGCTCTTCCCACCACTGGTGAGCCCCTGCCTTACTAGCGCGCTGCCTGCAGCTTGCTTGGCTGCCTGCCTTACTGCTGCTTCTCCTGCTCCTGCTTCTACTGGCGGCGGCCAGATGCAGCTCCAGCGACGCCCACGCGCGTCTCTCACGCCCCAGTAGCTTCGTGAGTGGTACGCTCATAGTAGAGGGTCTCTCAGTTCTGTTCGCTGCTCTTACGTGATTCGCACTGGTGCTCGGACTGGTCAGCCTTGTGGGACGCCTAGTCACACACCGTCCCGCTGCTTCGCCCGTCTGAGCGACACCTGGCGTACCGAGTTTGGCAACGAGGCTGAGCTCCCCGACTGGGTGGAGTTGCTTAGGCAGAGGGTAGATATATTTGCTCTTGACTATGATGCTATTCTCACTGCCATGTATGCATTGCCTACTAGTGCTGACCGTGCCTGTCACCTGTGCGTACCGCCTGACCCGGGTATTGAGCTTGCTGCTCTAGCTGCTGGTGCGGCTGCTGCTCTGGGTGCTAGTGTGTCTCCTGCTCCAGGTACGAAGCGGCTGCTGCTCTAGGTGCTAGTGAGTCTGCTTCCTGAGGTGCGGGTGAGTCTGCTCTCTCAGGTATCGCGTCGGCTCCGGCCTCTCACACCTTCACCCTTGACTCGGGGGCTTCCCGCTCCTTCTTTCGAGACCGCACCACACTCACGCCGCTTGGTCGGTCAGTTGCAGTCTCTTTGGCAGACCCCTCTGGGGGCCCTGTCCTTGCTCACTTCTCCACTGTCCTCCCGTGTCCGGCGGCCCCCTCTGGCACCCTGTCTAGTCTTTACCTCCCCTCGTTCTCTACGAACTTGGTGAGTGGTGCTGACTTGCAGGATGCAGGGGGTTCACCAGTTCACTCCTGCGAGTCAGCGGGTGACCCACTGCACAGACGCTCGGACAGGCCGACACCTGGCCACGTTTACTCGTCGGCCGGGGTCGAGCCTGTACACACTGACCACTGCGTCTCCTCCAGTTGCTGAGTCTGGTAGGGTAGCTGCGTCGGGTCAGGTGTTTGCTGCAGCGTCCAGGTCTGGTCCTGAGTCTGCCCCCTGTTCGTGTCGTCTCCTGTCTCACGAGACTCTCCTCAGGCACCACCGCCTTGGTCACCCCTCTCTGCTTCGGCTCAGAGGCATGGCCTCTCGTCTTCTTGTTGCTGGTCTCCCCCGGTCCCTCCCTCCCCTTCCTCCGGGCCCTGGCCCTACCTGTGTCCCCTGTGTCGAGGGGCGCCAGCGTGCTGCCCCTCACTCCTCCCAGATTCCTCCGACAGAGGCCCCGTTGCAGACGCTTCACATGGACGTGTGGGGCCCAGCCCGCGTCCGTGGACAGGGTCACGAGCGCTACTTCCTGCTAGTTGTTGACGACTACTCGCGTTACACCGCAGTCTTCCCCTTGCGCAGCAAGGGTGATGTCACTGAGGTGCTGATCGACTAGATCCGCGCAGCTCGTCTCCAGCTCAGGCAGAGCTTTGGCTCGGACTTTCCTGTTCTGCGTCTGCACTCGGACAGAGGCGGAGAGTTTTCCTCTGGCCTTCTGAGAGCCTACTGTCGCAAACGGGGCATCCGTCAGACCTTCACGCTTCGGGACTCTCCGCAGCAAAATGGGATTGCTGAGCGCCGCATTGGCATGGTCATGGACGTCGCTCATACGTCTATGATGCATGCGGCTGCCCCCCATTTTCTGTTGCCGTTTGCGGTGAGGTACGCGGCGCATCAGATCAACCTTCACCCCAGGGTCTCCAGGCCGGAGACCTCCCCAGCCTTGCTGTGGACGGGGAAGGTTGGCGATGCGTCGGCGTTCCAGGTGTGGGGATCTCGGGCGTTTGTCCGCGACTTGTCTGCGGACAAGCTGTCCCCTCGTGCTGCTCCTTGCGTCTTCCTGGGGTTCCCCCCTGACGCGCCTGGGTGGCAGTTCTACCACCCCACCTCTCGCCGTGTTCTGTCCTCCCAGGACGTCACGCTTGACGAGTCGGTCCCCTACTACCGCCTCTTCCCCTACCGCACTCCATCCCTCCCCCCGCCCCCGCTCTTCCTTGTACCAAGTCCCCCCCAGGTAGACCCCCTCCCCCCTCAGGGTCCTGCCCCTTCAGGTGTGTCCCAGGTAGACGTAGTCAAGCCTGTCGAGGTCACTGGTGACTCTGGTGCTGCTGAGGGTGCTGAGCCTGGGGATACTGAGCCTGGGGGTGCTGAGCCTAGGGGTGCTACGCCTGGGGGTGCTTTGTCTGGGGGTGCCGGGCCTGGGGGTGCTGAGCCTGGAGGTGCTCCGCCTAGAGGTTCTCCGGGTGCTACGTCTCGCAGGGAGCCACTCTCTCCACAGGAGCTGCGCGAGTGGTTTGCCCGGCGCTGGAGCCGTGCTGCTGGTGCTAGAGGTTCTTTGGCTACTGGGGGTGCTGAGCCTAGGGGTGCTGAGCGTGGGGGTGCTGAGCCTGGGGGTGCTACGCCTGGGGGTGCTGGGCCTGGGGGTGCTGGCCCTGGGGGTGCTGAGCCTGGGGGTGCTGAGCCTGGGGGTGCTTTGCCTGGGGGTGCTGGACCCGGGGGTGCTGTGCCTGGACGTGCTCCGCCTGGAGGTTCTCCGGGTGCTTCGTCTCGCCGGGAGCCACTCTCTCCACAGGAGCTGCGAGAGTGGTTTGCCCGGCGCTGGAGCCGTGCTGCTGGTGCTGGAGGTTCGTCGGCTACTGAGGGTACTGCTGTCGCGGGTCCCGGAGGTGCTCGTCCTAGGAGTACTGGAGCTGCTGGGCCTGCAGGTTCGACTGGAGCTGGTGCTGCTGAGGGTGTTGGCGCTGAGACTACCACTGGCGGTCCTGCTGGGGGTGCTCCTGGTGCTGCTGGAGGTTCTCGAGCTGCTGGAGGTGCTCCTGGAGCGGGTGCTCCTACTGGAGGTACTGGTGCTGTCCCTGCTGCTTCTGGCGTTGCCATGCGGCCTCGACCGTACTTCGTTCCACTCCTGCAGCAGGTTCTTGGTCTTCCACCTTCTAGTGGTCCTCCTACTCCCTTAGAGTGTCCACAGCCTGTC